AGTCTCTGCTTTCACCAGGGAAGGCATGACAGGTGGGTTGAGGAGAGCATCAAAAATATTTCTTCCAATCTCCTACCATGACATGCACCACAGACCTTACAGTCAAAGCAATGGGCAGCCGAATCGCCAGTAGAGAATGAGAACACAGCGATCAGTAATGAGACATGAGCAGACATATGTTTCTTCTTTTATGAGCCTGTTCTGTTTTAATGCATCTTTACAGCCCTTTGGGCATCTTAAGGAGAAGACTTATTTAAAAAAGGCTGATAGCTTATTGGTAACCAAACAGGTTTCAAGCAAGCATTAGTTTAAGACTTAGACCATTTATCAATCCCACCAGGGGTTTGTCTTCTGAGCAGCAGAGGAGACAAACAGACTAAAACATATATAAAAACATATAACACAACAATAGTTATTACTATATCCCTACTAGAAGTCAAATTTTTGTTGGAGTAAAAGATTTTGCATTCTGGTTTATTTTTACAGCGAGGCATTACCTGGGGATGTCTTAAACACAGAAAATTAATTTTTCAGAAGATGTCCAGATGAAGAGAGGATCACAAGAGCAGTTTATTCAATTTGTTTATTACAAAATGAAGTCAAGTCCCTGTGGTGCACTCCTATGATTTTTAGAACAAATTTTAACATGATTCAGACTGATATTATATTTCAATATGAGGCAATTATACCAGATGATGGAAAAAAACAAAACAAAAAAAACAGGAGTTTCTCAATGAATGCCTGATAGAACCCTGATAAATGGACAAACTGAAAATGTCTTCGATTTTCTTAGAAGATACATTCTTTGTTGAGCTTGTTTCAGAACAGCTGCAGTGTTAACACTGTTCACACTTACATACAGCTTATTGAACATTTTCCTCTTCTACCTTTTCCCTCTAATGGATTTGTTATTTTTCTGCTGAAATTCACAGGTCATATGCTAATATATATATATATATATATATATATATTAAGATTTTGGAAATTTTTTGAAGGGCTTTATTTTAACTACTTGAGAGCCCAACTCTATATGGTTGAAAAGTTGAAGGCTTAAAGACTTTACATCCGCTATAAAGAAAAAAGATTTAATTTGGATTTCTTGTACGGCATCAATTTACAAGAAATGTAAATTAATTCAACTCTTCAAACAAAGTCAATCCAATCACACATAGTTATTAAGATTAAATAGTTATTACAATTATATATTTATATAAATATATATAACTTGAAGAAAAAGAACCCAGAATGACCCCTGTCTGCTTCCTCTGCTTCCTTAAATACATGCTTTTAGGGTTCAAATATGACTTTTGTTCTCTTTAAACCCATTTAGTACTTTCGCTTTACCCTGCTGCCTCCAAGTGGTCAAATAATGGCTTTACATTTGAGAACGTTATTTTTTCCCTGATACTTCAGGTTTCTCGTTTTCCTTTCTCTTTTTAGTTTTTCTAATTACTGGGTAGGGTTCAATGGGCTGTGGTAGTTAGCAGTCACAGTAATATGGTCTTCATTTGACATAATTATCTGAGCAGCTGCATGAGTTTTCTTGGGTCTCATCTAACATTCTAGCATTTACACTTAATTGGCCACTACTCTTGTTTAAAACCTACAATAATATGACAATATCATAATGGTGTAATAGTGGACCTCTTTACAAAAAAATAAAAGATACAATTTTCTAGAATTGTGCCTTGTCATATTAACTTTCAATTCAGTTATAAGGAGACCACTTTGGTCCAGTTTAAGCTTTTCCAGTCAAAGTTTAGTTAATTAAAATCTGATTTGTCTAAGAAACCCAGTTGATGAAATCGTTGCCCTTTGTGATAAGCAACAAATCAGCAAGTTTCTGAGAGTCCAGAATATTGAATCAACCTATAATTAAAATTGGGGGTTCAATGCAATGGTAGGCACTGGGCCCTTTGAATTTGCCAACACTATACGTATCGCAATACATGTTTTACAATGAGATTCATCCAGTATAACCCAGTGCAGTAAAAAGACATATTGATGCATTGAGATTTTTATGATAATATAGCACTGTAAAATCTCACAAGAGCTAATTGATTCTATGATGCAGAAGATGCGGTGTGCTGCAAACTAGTAGCTGGGGGTTTAAGAGTTATGTAAAAGTAAGACCAAATGGATGTGTATGTATATATAAATTATATTCATACACATATATAAATAAAATAAATTGTATGATCAATTCAACATTACTTTAAATCAATACCAGTATCATCTAATGAAATATAACGGTATTGATTATAATTTAGCCTTTCTTACAACCTTTGAAGACAACACACAATGCAGCCAAATTATATAGATATGGATATTTTCAGAGAATTCTCTTTCATTATTTGTTGGACTGAGCTGGTGGACAAGTTCCACAGTCGGCTTCAGCAGATGGCCGCTCACACTGAGTCTGGTTCTGCTGGAGGTTTCTTCCTGTTAAAATCGAGTTTTTCCTCTCCACTGTTGCTATAAGCATGTTTGGTGTGAGGGATTGCCTTTGAGTCAGTGAGTGCATGCAATCAACTGGTTTCCCTTAGATAGAAAACTTTATATCAGTTTGACTGTATGACCTGGTTGAACTGTCTCTGTAAAGTGCCTTGAGATGACATGTGTTGAGAATTGGCGCTATATAAATAAACTGTATTGAAATTGAATTGTTTCTCTCTCTTTGCCTTTCCCTTTTCCTACATGTGTGAGGAGTGTCATGGGGCCCCAGGCAAACGTTTAGTTTTGCCTAATGGTAACCTCGCCCTTTATTGCGACATTACTTGATTCATTTAGGTGTAG